ATACCACAAACATGTACTCAGGTGTAACAAACAGGTGTAATAATGATACACCATGTGTGGTAAATACCACAAACATGTACTTAGGTGTAACAACCAGGTGTAACAATGATACACCATGTGTGGTAAATACCACAAACATGAACTCAGGTGTAACAACCAGGTGTAACAATGATACATCATGTGTGGTAAATACCACAAACATGTACTCAGGTGTAACAACCAGGTGTAACAATGATACACCATTGTACCTGTATACTCAGGTTTAACAACCAGGTGTAACAATGATACACCATGTGTGGTAAATACCACAAACATGTACTCAGGTGTAACAATGATTCACCATGTGTGGTAAATACCACAAACATGTACTTAGGTGTAACAACCAGGTGTAACAATGATACACCATGTGTGGTAAATACCACAAACATGTACTCAGGTGTAACAACCAGGTGTAACAATGATTCACCATGTGTGGTAAATACCACAAACATGTACTCAGGTGTAACAACCAGGTGTAACAATGATACACCATTGTACCTGTATACTCAGGTTTAACAACCAGGTGTAACAATGATTCACCATGTGTGGTAAATACCACAAACATGTACTCAGGTGTAACAACCAGGTGTAACAATGATACACCATTGTACCTGTATACTCAGGTGTAACAACCAGGTGTAACAATGATACACCATGTGTGGTAAATACCACAAACATGTACTCAGGTGTAACAACCAGGTGTAATAATGATACACCATTGTACCTGTATACTCAGGTGTAACAACCAGGTGTAACAATGATACACCATTGTACCTGTATACTCAGGTGTAACAACCAGGTGTAATAATGATACACTATGTGTGGTAAATACCACAAACATGTACTCAGGTGTAACAACCAGGTGTAATAATGATACACCATTGTACCTGTATACTCAGGTGTAACAACCAGGTGTAACAATGATACACCATTGTACCTGTATACTCAGGTGTAACAACCAGGTGTAATAATGATACACTATGTGTGGTAAATACCACAAACATGTACTCAGGTATGACAATGATTCACCATGTGTGGTAAATACCACAAACATGTACTCAGGTGTAACAACCAGGTGTAACAATGATACACTATGTGTGGTAAATACCACAAACATGTACTGAGGTGTAACAATGATTCACCATGTGTGGTAAATACCACAAACATGTACTCAGGTGTAAAAATGATACACCATGTGTGGTAAATACCACAAACATGTACTCAGGTGTAACAACCAGGTGTAACAATGATACACCATTGTACCTGTATACTCAGGTGTAACAACTAGGTGTAACAATGATACACTATGTGTGGTAAATACCACAAACATGTACTCATGTGTAAAAATGATACATCATGTGTGGTAAATACCACAAAAATGTACTCAGGTGTAACAACCAGGTGTAACAATGATACACCATTGTACCTGTATACTCAGGTGTAACAACCAGGTGTAATAATGATACACCATTGTACCTGTATACTCAGGTGTAACAACCAGGTGTAACAATGATACACTATGTGTGGTAAATACCACAAATATGTACTCAGGTGTAACAATGATTCACCATGTGTGGTAAATACCACAAACATGTACTCAGGTGTAAAAATGATACACCATGTGTGGTAAATACCACAAACATGTACTCAGGTGTAACAACCAGGTGTAACAATGATACACCATTGTACCTGTATACTCAGGTGTAACAACCAGGTGTAATAATGATACACCATTGTACCTGTATACTCAGGTGTAACAACCAGGTGTAACAATGATACACTATGTGTGGTAAATACCACAAACATGTACTCAGGTGTAACAATGATTCACCATGTGTGGTAAATACCACAAACATGTACTCAGGTGTAAAAATGATACATCATGTGTGGTAAATACCACAAACATGTACTCAGGTGTAATAATGATACACCATTGTACCTGTATACTCAGGTGTAACAAACAGGTGTAACAATGATACACCATTGTACCTGTATACTTAGGTGTAACAACCAGGTGTAACAATGATACACCATTGTACCTGTATACTCAGGTGTAACAACCAGGTGTAACAACATGAGATCCCAGAAGGATCTTGGTTTCTGTATTGTTTACTAACCAGTTGTAACAACATGAGATCCCAGAAGGATCTTGGTTTCTGTATTGTTTACTAACCAGGTGTAACAACATAAGATCCCAGAAGGATCTTGGTTTCTGTTTACTCAGTTGTAACAACATGAGATCCCAGAAGGATCTTGGTTTCTGTATTGTTTACTAACCAGGTGTAACAACATGAGATCCCAGAAGGATCTTGGTTTCTGTTTACTCAGTTGTAACAACATGAGATCCCAGAAGGATCTTGGTTTCTGTATTGTTTACTAACCAGGTGTAACAACATAAGATCCCAGAAGGATCTTGGTTTCTGTATTGTTTACTAACCAGTTGTAACAACATGAGATCCCAGAAGGATCTTGGTTTCTGTATTGTTTACTAACCAGGTGTAACAACATGAGATCCCAGAAGGATCTTGGTTTCTGTATTGTTTACTAACCAGGTGTAACAACATGAGATCCCAGAAGGATCTTGGTTTCTGTATTGTTTACTAACCAGGTGTAACAACATAAGATCCCAGAAGGATCTTGGTTTCTGTTTACTCAGTTGTAACAACATGAGATCCCAGAAGGATCTTGGTTTCTGTATTGTTTACTAACCAGGTGTAACAACATGAGATCCCAGAAGGATCTTGGTTTCTGTATTGTTTACTAACCAGGTGTAACAACATGAGATCCCAGAAGGATCTTGGTTTCTGTATTGTTTACTAACCAGGTGTAACAACATGAGATCCCAGAAGGATCTTGGTTTCTGTATTGTTTACTAACCAGGTGTAACAACATAAGATCCCAGAAGGATCTTGTTTCTGTTTACTAACCAGGTGTAACAACATGAGATCCCAGAAGGATCTTGGTTTCTGTATTGTTTACTAACCAGGTGTAACAACATGAGATCCCAGAAGGATCTTGGTTTCTGTATTGTTTACTAACCAGGTGTAACAACATGAGATCCCAGAAGGATCTTGGTTTCTGTATTGTTTACTAACCAGGTGTAACAACATGAGATCCCAGAAGGATCTTGGTTTCTGTATTGTTTACTAACCAGGTGTAACAACATGAGATCCCAGAAGGATCTTGGTTTCTGTATTGTTTACTAACCAGGTGTAACAACATGAGATCCCAGAAGGATCTTGGTTTCTGTATTGTTTACTAACCAGGTGTAACAACATGAGATCCCAGAAGGATCTTGGTTTCTGTATTGATTACTAACCATCTGTAACAACAAGAGATCCCAGAAGGATCTTGGTTTCTGTATTGTTTACTAACCAGGTGTAACAACATGAGATCCCAGAAGGATCTTGGTTTCTGTATTGTTTACTAACCAGGTGTAACAACATGAGATCCCAGAAGGATCTTGGTTTCTGTATTGTTTACTAACCAGGTGTAACAACATGAGATCCCAGAAGGATCTTGGTTTCTGTAACTAACCAGGATGTAACAACATTGGTTTCTGTATTGTTTACTAACCAGGTGTAACAACATGAGATCCCAGAAGGATCTTGGTTTCTGTATTGTTTACTAACCAGGTGTAACAACATGAGATCCCAGAAGGATCTTGGTTTCTGTATTGTTTACTAACCAGGTGTAACAACATGAGATCCCAGAAGGATCTTGGTTTCTGTATTGTTTACTAACCAGGTGTAACAACATGAGATCCCAGAAGGATCTTGGTTTCTGTATTGTTTACTAATTTTATTTTTTTGAAAGTTGCAACTATACCTTTCCTCTTGTTTTACTCTAAAATATATGAAATTTGAAGAAACAGAGATAAAAATCTTTCACTGTCAAATCTAAGATTGCTGCCTGTCTACCAGCTTGTTTAACTGACCAGAATCAAAAGGGCAAAAGGACAGAAATAGGGACCAAGGGGAACATTATGTCAATTATGAGAAAAAGCTATTGAGTGCATCTAAATAAATAGCGTTAACAAACTTTCACTGTCAAAATCCAAGATGGCTGGCTGTCAACCAATCCTATAAAGGGTATTGCACATCTAGGCACTACGAGGAGCCTACATATAAAGTTTGAGAATTATAAATCTAGCACTTTTTAAGAAATACTGATAGCAATCTAGGGTTGTCAAAACTCAAGATGGCTGCATTATCGGCCATTTTTTCTATCTGTCCCATAAGGATGTATAAAAAAGTAGGGACCTACATATACAGCAGAGACCTACATATACAGCAGAGACCTACATGTACAGTTTGGGAATGATCAATAATGTATTTCTCCAGAAACAGAGATAGCAAACTATGACCACATACTAAATGTTTGCCATGTTATATTTTTGATTGGTCCCAAAATGGATTGTGCACAATAAGAGACCAAGAGGAACCAACATATAAAAAATTGATTCATCAAGTGTTTCTTCAGAACTAGTGATAACAAGAATTATTTAAGAATGGAAGGACAGATGGATGACAAATTTGTATCCGATGAGTTAATGATACACCAGGTGAAGTAAATTTATCTTTTGTTTGTTTGTAATGTTCAGTGAGCTACCATAGTAAGTAACTCTACATCTTATATGTTTACAAGAAATTTTGTGATAAGCCGAGACTGTTTTTTTTCCTGCATAGAGAAATGTTAATTTAAACACACCACTACATGTTTGTAAAGCGGTTACTTGTAGCCATCTATGGTTTAGAGCAATGCTACTTTTTCCCATTGAGTGTGTGATACATTTGTTAAGGTTTTTTATGCCATTAAAGTGACACGCCTAACTTTTGGTGCCAGTACAGTGACACACCTGACACTTTGTGCCAATAGTGACACACCTCAGTCTAGGTGTCTTTAAAGTGACACCTGTTTTATGGTCCTTCTATTGCAATTACATGGTCATTGACAAATATTCAGCCCTCCTCCAAACGCTTCTCGCGAACCTCGTGAGCTTTGAGCATGGCCTTGATGGCACGAGCTCTCATTTCTAGTTCCAGTAACTCCATCTGGTTCTGTGAGAGTACTGGAGTGACACCCTCATGCTCCTCAGCCTGAGTCCCCTGATCCTCGCCTTGGCCCTCTGGTACCCCACCTTGACTCTCTTGTGTTACAGCCTCTGTGTCTTCCATATCACCATATAGACTTTCTTCACCTTCCTCAACTTCTGCTAAGTAGTGGTCCTCCCCATCAGGGTCGGTCATACTCTCCTGGTCTGAGGGGACGTCCACTTCCCCTGGTTCTGGTGATCCACTGTAGATGGAGTTGTCTTCCTTGGGACAGTGCTGACCATCAAGCCCATCTGTGTCTGTGTTGCTATAGTGACCACTCTCCACGTCACTCTGGGCATTATGTTCCTGTGGATTCAAATGAAAAGGATGAACACAGAAATGTCAATTACCTATTTCACTGTATTATGTTCAACACGAATAATAATCGTATTTTTGCCAAGCTTAATGCTACTATGTCACACCAGTGCCTAAGGGGATTTTTTTTCCAAGTCGTTTGTAAGCTTATATTTTTTTCTATCGTTGCATAGATATTGATTAAGTTAATAATTAGATAAGGGTTATTTGACAGCACCAAAAGCCATATATACTGACGTTTTAAACACCCTAGTAACAAGGAAGGCAGAACCCAACACACGACTTAGTGCGGCCCAAAACAAATTTACTGGCCATAATATAGCATCCATAAATTTGTGTCTGACACGACGCACAAAGAATTTTTCATTTATCAGGGTCAGTAAAGTAGCAGAATTTCAAACACGCGATATTGATTTTTTGGTCTTTTACTAGATGGATGGCTACTCTCAGTCTATTGATTATATTGTAGTGCATTAAACCCAGAATATCCCTCGTCCTACTTGAACTTAAAGTGGCACAGATGAATTTCTGACATTTATCATCTCCTAAAATATTCAAAGAGATACTGGACTTGATTGATAGAGTGGACGATTCTATCTTCAGATTACGCATCACTTTCCTACTACCAATAGTTTACATATACTAAAGTATTTTTCTCTGTTGTTTGGCTATCAAAATAGCGAACTTGAGTACAAGCTTTCACAGGTTGAGTACCGACCTCACCCATCATCAATACGGGACCTTAAAGCTACCTTTAGTTGCTGTAAAGCAATTTAAAGTAAATTAGGCCTACCTCAGTATTTATATTTTAAGGGTCAAGAAAAATTATTTCTATGCCAAGATGTCAAACACAAATTGAACTGGAAAATGAAACTAACAACTAAGTAATACCAATGTCAGGGAGGAAGCAGGGGTCAGGGAGGGGGAGAAATGTAATACTGGAGTCAAGGAGAGGAGAAATGTAATAATGGGGTCAGGGAGAGGAGAAATGTAACACTGGGGGCAGGGAGGGGGAGAAATGTAATACTGGGGGCAGGGAGGGAAAGAAATGTAATACTGGGGTCAGGGAGAGGAGAAATGTAATACTGGGGTCAGGGAGAGGAGAAAAGTAACACTGGGGTCAGGGAGGGGGAGAAATGTAATACTGGGGACAGGGAGGGGGAGAAATGTAATACAGGGAGGGGGAGAAATGTAATACTGGGGCCAAGGAGAGGAGAAATGTAACACTGGGGTCAGGGAAAGGAGAAATGTAATACCGGGGTCAGGGAGAGGGAGAAATGTAATACTGGAGTCAAGGAGAGGAGAAATGTAATACTGAGGTCAGGGAGGGGGAGAAATGTAATACTGGGGTCAGGGAGAGGAGAAATGTAACACTGGGGTCAGGGAGAGGAGAAATGTAACACTGGGGGCAGAGAGGGGGAGAAATGTAATACTGGGGGCAGGGAGGGGGAGAAATGTAATACTGGGGGCAGGGAGAGGAGAAATGTAATACTGGGGTCAGGGAGAGGAGAAATGTAATACTGGGGTCAGGGAGGGGGAGAAATGTAATACTGGGGTCAGGGAGGGGGAGAAATGTAATACTGGGGGCAGGGAGGGGGAGAAATGTAATACTGGAGTCAAGGAGAGGAGAAATGTAATACTGAGGTCAGGGAGGGGGAGAAATGTAATACTGGGGTCAGGGAGAGGAGAAATGTAACACTGGGGTCAGGGAGAGGAGAAATGTAACACTGGGGGCAGAGAGGGGGAGAAATGTAATAGGGGGCAGAGGGGGAGAAATGTAATACTGGGGTCAGGGAGAGGAGAAATGTAATACTGGGGTCAGGGAGAGGAGAAATGTAACACTGGGGTCAGGGAGGGGGAGAAATGTAATACTGGGGGCAGGGAGGGGGAGAAATGTAATACTGGAGTCAAGGAGAGGAGAAATGTAATACTGAGGTCAGGGAGGGGGAGAAATGTAATACTGGGGTCAGGGAGAGGAGAAATGTAACACTGGGGTCAGGGAGAAGAGAAATGTAATACTGGGGGCAGGGAGGGGGAGAAATGTAATACTGGGGGCAGGGAGGGGGAGAAATGTAATACTGGGGTCAAGGAGAGGAGAAATGTAATACTGGGGTCAGAGAGAGGAGACATGTAACACTGGGGTCAGGGAGGGGGAGAAATGTAATACTGGGGGCAGGGAGGGGGAGAAATGTAATACTGGGTCAGAGAGAGGAGAAATGTAATACTGGGGTCAGGGAGGGGGAGAAATGTAATACTGGGGGCAGGGAGGGGGAGAAATGTAATACTGGGGTCAGGGAGAGGAGAAATGTAACACTGGGGTCAGGGAGGGGGAGAAATTTAATACTGGGTCAGGGAGAGGAGAAATGTAATACTGGGGTCAGGGAGGGGGAGAAATGTAATACTCGGGTCAGAGAGGAGAAAAGAAATACTGGAGTCAGGGAGGGGGAGAAATGTAACACTGGGGTCAGGGAGGGGGAGAAATGTAACACTGGGGTCAGGGAGAGGAGAAATGTAATACTGGGGTCAGGGAGGGGGGAAATGCAATACTGGGGTTAGGGAGGGGGAGAAATGTAACACTGGGGTCAGGGAGAAGAGAAATGTAATACTGGGGTCAGGGAGGGGGAGAAATGTAATACTGGGGGCAGGGAGAGGAGAGAATGTAATACTGGTGTCAAGGAGAGGAGAAATGTAATACTGAGGTCAGGGAGGGCGAGAAATGTAATACTGGGGGCAGGGAGGGGGAGAAATGTAATACTGGGGTTAGGGAGAGGAGAAATGTAATACAGGTATCAGGGAAAGGGGGAAAATGCAATACTAGTATCAGGGAATTGGGGGAAATGCAATACTAGTATCAGGGAAAGGGGGAAAATGCAATACTAGTATCAGGGAAAGGGGGAAAATGCAATGCTAGTATCAGGGAAAGGGGGAAAATGCAATGCTAGTATCAGGGAAAGGGGGAAAATGCAATGCTAGTATCAGGGAAAGGGGGAAAATGCAATGCTAGTATCAGGGAAAGGGGGAAAATGCAATACTAGTATCAGGGAAAGGGGTTAAGAAAAAATCAAAGCTGTCAAGTATGTATCGCTGTCAAGTATGTATAGCAAAAAATGTACACATCCAGTAAATACAGACCCTTAATTCTAAATAAGTAAAAAAATCATGGTTAGGATGTCATCATCAGATTTTTTTCTTATTATAAGTATGTGGAAAGTGAAAGTCACACTAGAAACAGAAGATAGTGTCTACTAACAATGTATCGTCCTGTTAAAACTCAACAAAATAATGTATATTGTACTACTATATTATCAAGTATAACTAGCCTCAACTATTAATGTAAATATTGAAGCTATCATTAGTCATTTAATAAATTGAAAATCCTCTGACATTCATAAAAACAAAGCAAATGAAATTAAACCATCAATTTCCTCACCAGTACATATGTCTCCAATAAACATTTACCAGTAACTCCAGAATTAGCATCAAATTAGGATTTATTGTAATTACTTAAGTATACATGAAATATCATACCAACAGAAAACCTTCTGTCTCATTGCTGACTACAACATATACATCAAATTACCTTCTACCAGGAAACAGATTCAAACCAGCACTTTTTTGTGATATTAAACTCATAAATATATCATTGAATATTACTCATTCCTGATGAAGCAGACAGCCTTCTTTTTCATCAACTTCAAAAAGATGGAAGTCATTTCTTCTCAAACAATATTGTAGGCAAACGTTAATGATTTATTGGAGTTAAATGTTTACTCACGACCATAACTCACAAAACTGTTTTTTTTATGAAAAAAATGTCAAAATTAGAACAAATAGATTCCTCTATAAATTGTGGAATTATCTTATCTTATTTAATATGTTTTTTATTAAAAAAAGGCAATTTTCTTGACCTGAATCAATTTAGAATGTAAATATGTGTGCTTAATTTGATAGGTTTTATCTTAAATAGATTTGGGATATTAAATCGGTCAGTCCACCCTTTGAAGTACTCATCCCTCTCCATGGTAGGGGGCCAGGTTAGCTGCTTCTGATTTGAAATTTAATGGGAAAAGGGCATGACCCATGTGAACTCTGACCTAGATCCAGTCGTGTGGTAATGGGCGCCATATGGCCAGGTATATAAAAGCCTCAGAGTTCTGTGAGCAGCATTGTTTGAAGTACCAATCTTAAGTTCACAAACACTTAAGTTTACAAAACCATGAAATTTTTTTGGTGTTTAGAATTGTAGAATAGAAATAGAATGTGTACTTTATGGAACCAGTGGAGACCAGGGAGAGGAGGCTGTCTTAGCCAGGACCAACTTCAATATAAACCAGCAGACTTTTTATGATGAAATATGCAATAACCCTGTATAAACTACTAGCACTAGCGAGATTTAAAATCCTACAGCTTTTTCTCTGCACATATTTAAGTCCTTGTCTGCAAATCTTATAATGGAGAAAACTAATAGCTAAGAGATGGAAATAAAGCTGGAACCATTTGTGTTGGTCAGTTTTTGACCGGAGTGTAATTGGATTCTATTTATAGTTATAATTCCCAGACAATGTTCAGGTATTCATGGTCATGAAATTGGGTCTGACTGCTATGTAATCATGCATAAAATGGAAGGTAACAAATTTGAAACACTAAATTTCTTGTCTGTGTTACTGACTAAGTTTCTGAAAAGACAATAAAAATTTTACACTATGAAAATTCCACATCTGTACATATACTGTGTACTTGTATTTATTTGTTGAAGTAAGAAATGAGAATTATAATTAACTGTTTATAAACAATTATTATACCTGCTGACAAGACCAAAAACCTTTCTCATTTCATCATCAAAATCTTTATATCAAAACTAATTACCTCATGTATTATCAGTGACTATACTGCCCCTGACAGACCTTAATATGCCATTTACCCCCTAAAACTGTCCCTGACAGACCTTAATATGTCATTTAGCCCCTATACTGCCCTATAAGATTAACTCC